TTTCCTTTGGCCCATTCTTCCCGTTTTGGTATCATTACCTTGTACTTTTTAGTAAAATTGTACTTCGGAGTAGTGGCATCAATTGGCATGCCTAAAATGGCATCTACTTGTATCTCCTCCCTCACTTTCCATTGTTTGTTTACAATGCCTATCCTTGCAAATGGATCTCAACCAAGACATTAGATAAAAAAGTATAATTAATTGAAGTAATTAAATAGGTCAATTATGATCGCTAAACATATAAGGATTAATACAATAATTAAAAAAAAAAGATTCTCGTTTTTAAAGCATTTTATACTAAACCTTCAAAGCAAACAAAGACTTTGGAAGTAATCGCAATAATATCTGCAATGCACTTATTGAAGGAGTCATACTTTGTTTTGGAAAATGATGTTTTTCGAAATGTGTGGAATCGAGCTTCTACCGCACACACCCAACAGTCCTGAACTCGTCCCTTCAGACTACAACCTTTTCTTAAGGCAAAAAACGTACGCATTGGTTTAAAAAAAAAATTTAATTCTAATTCTCAAAGTACTCTTTTGATTACAGTGTTGTAAAATATCTTGGTTTCGAAGGTACAGCACAAACTTCTTGGTTCCTACCAGAACGTATCATTTAATAATACCCAGTGCTCTGAAGTTATGACTTCATTAGGGAAATATACCTACAAATTTATATAATAAATACTCAACAGTTATTACAATAGTTAATATAAAATGCGATATATAGTTAGTTTACTTGTAAATAACTTTGTATTTTTCATTTGAAGCGTCTTTCATGACGTGGTGGCTGAGGATTGTTTGAGATCTGTCGAATAATTAAATTAGTATGATCTACCATGGATGCGTGAAGAAAGGCTCGCCTTGATGACATTCAACCTCCTGTGCATAAATTGTGGTAATTTGAATACGCTTTGTTCGTGGAATTTTGTGAGTTATCAAGCCGCAATACTTATGCAAAATTTGTTTGCCCCCCATTGCCGATGAAATATGAAACCTTACGTCGTCAAGGCTATAAAGCCCTCCGGTCGAATGGACGAATAATGCAAGGTAAGGAAGAGAAAATGCGATATTATTGTTTGATCAAGCTGATATTTCTACAGTCCAACTGAGTCGAAAAGGTCAATAAGAGCATAAGGCGCTCAAGGAGATCAAAGGGAACTTATATTCGATGGTTCTGTCAAGTTATTGATCTAAGAAAGTTACCTCTATCTAAGTGCTGAAATTTCGTCATAAGTCTGTAGTTATATATAGTCAAGATAGCCAAGATAGTCGTTTCTGTTCCCACACGTAAAATTGATATTAAAGATATATATAAACTGCTCAAAAATGAATAGGGATTTTGCCAATTTTGTAGTATTTACTTTCCTTAACATTTTTATTTTATTTTTATTATAAATTGCATTAAAATTTATTAGAAATTATTATGTTTTAATTAATGAAAATTTAATTAATGGTTTTTGACACAATAATTTTTTTTAAACAATTAATGCCGTGTATTATGTCCTCCTGTTAGGCATACTGTTAATAATGTTGTCACTTCTCATAACCAATTTCACTCCATGGATGTTGCAACGCTGCACTCAGTCGTTGCAAGTCGACTAGTTTCGGTGATTATCGAAAAGCCTTCTCCTTAACGCATACCACATATGATCAATGGGATTGAGGTCTGGAGACAATGGGGGGGGGGGGCAGATGGGAAATGCCCAGATTTGTTATGCATTGTCATCCAGGCTCATACATTTGAGGGATGTATTCCGCGATAATTTCTTGAATATAAAATATTGCGGTGAGGTTGCATTCAACAATATGGAATGAAAATCGTCATTCAGTGTAAATCCCACCTCTGACTATTACACCGCTTCCTCCAAGCTGCACTGAAGAAGAGAGCACGAACTGGGCACTGTACGCATCTCCTGTTCTCGGTAGACTAGGGCGCCTGCTATCACTACATAGAAAGAAACGCGACTCATCAGTAAACATAACAGTGCTTCAATTGGTGTTCTCTTCTAGACGCTCGCTACACCATATTCTTATCCACCCAGAGGAGCCGGACTCCATCAAATGTGGGATCTCTGTGGCAATGGGTGGTACAGCTTGGCCGGGGCGTGTAAAGGCGAGCCTCGCGTTCTCGGGCACTTCCCTTTCTCAGTCCAGGTCCTATGCCACATTTCCTTGAGACGTCTCCCAACCCTTGGATGCAAGGGGGGTTCCAGGCGCAAAATAATGGTGTAGCCTTGAGAGCGTGGCAAACTCTCTAAAGCACAAGTTGGATTCGTGTTGGCTTTCGAAGGATCAGAGGTACAGATCCTGTCTGCATAGATGGGGGTCCATCTGAACTAGGGGGTAGCAAAATGTGCCAATCCAGCTACATGGGAATGGGCTTGCAAGGGCTGCTTAGTGGTGAAGCTCCTGGCAAGAACTTAGTATGAACCTGCTGCTCGGGGGTACCATTATCAGTTTCCTTCCGAGAGCTAATCCCATAAACAAACAGCGGCCAGAGCGAATCCGGTAGTTCTTACACTGGAGGAGCCCCAATACTCTGGGAAATAGACCTTCTCGGTCTAGGGAGACCGGCTGATGCATTTCGGATATCCCTTTCCGGGCGGCACATGGTCTGATGCTTAATGCAGGCCCATCCTGTCGGATTGGACAATGGAAGAGTGAGGTTCGTGTTCTCTTCGAGGGACGTCTTCTACACCAAACCTTGCGGCTGTAACACACACCCTGTTGCGAGCCGTGGTGCGTCATCTCTCATTTGAGAATCAAAACGTCCGATAAGCCGAAGGGCTAGGTGCGGGCGTTAAAGATCCTCATGTCCTTTTAAGGACAAACGAGTACATACGGGAATCAATATGCTCCATACTCAACTGATTTGTTGCTGGCATGCTAAACATAAAAAAAATTAATTCTATAATTTTGTTTATTGGATACAATAATTTTTTTAAACAATTAATACCTTGTATAATGTCCTCTGTTAGTTAAAACCTCTGTGTACCATGTTAGGCGTAACAATACAAATCATATCGAAAAGCCTTCTCTGCAACGCATCCCACGTGTGATTAATGGGATGTAGATCTGGAGGCAATGGAGGAAGGGGCAGATGGGATATTCCCATATTTTTTAAACATTGATGAACAACTTGCCTCTATGAGGCATTGTCATCCAGAAATCGAAAACTCCTGCCAATGAAGTTCCTGGTTTGAATAATGTATTCCTTGTTAAATTTCTTGGACATAACGGACTACAGTGAGGTTGCCTTCAATAGTATGGAGTCCAGTTCGTCATCCAGTGTATATCCCAGCCCATACCGTTCCACCGCCTCCTCCAAACTGCACTGAAGGGCATTGTAAGTATCTCATGTTCTCGGTACTCTAGGCGCTCGCTGTACCATGTTCTCCTGAGTTGCTGCTGGCGGGTGGTTGCAGCAAGTCGTCCCAAAGGTTTCTGTCCTTCCGTAGCGTCGTAATGCGCTGAGATCCACTTCCAGTCTCTCGGAATGCTAAAGGCATGGGAGACCACAGACTGAGAAACGACAACTGCCTCTGCGATATCCACTTGCCTGAGACCTCGATGAATCATTCTCACAATAATTTTGCGAACTTCTGGTTCAATATGATGTCCTTCCATGTTTAAAGAGAATACAACTGGATTAAAATGGAGAAAAGATGAGAAAAAGTGTTTATTTACGAAATTACTAACCTTAATGTTTATTATTCTTAAGTAAATCCCTTATAAAAAATGATGTTTAACATTTGCTTGTTTGTGGTTTGTATTTTGTTTTATCCAACTAACAATTATATATCGATTAATTTAATTAAAATTAGTAGAATAAGATTAAATTTCAAATATCCCTGTTCATTTTTGAGCAGTTTATATTCACTGCGCCTTTGCTCGCTTTTATTGAAATTTTTTTGGGTGTTGGGTTCAAACGATAAAGAAATCATAAAACTAAACAGATTGCTAAAAACTAAAAATTTAGTGGGTGAGGCGAATTAAAAACAGAAAACGAAAACATCCCCTTTCTCCCGTCTAGGCGTTAGTGTTGAAGCAATGTAAATTATTTCCGTCCTCGTCTGTTAAATAAACAAGAAAAATGCCCTTTATAGACAAAGCCTTGAGGGACCTCCGTAACGACGGCGCTGGGAAGGCTCTTAAGAGACTTCTCCCCGGAGAGAACACTTATTTGGTGTCTTGTAAAAGTCGTGGCTGTAGGGAAAAAAACTTTTTCAATCCGACGACAAAGTCGACTTAAGTCTTGGACAGACCGGAACATAGTTGTTTACTTGTTTTACCCATTTTCTGCTTTATATTTTTCTTAATGATAACGATGGGTTTCTATATTCTATGTTGAAAGAAAAACGTTCCACAAGGACTCAGGGTAAAGTTTATAAGCAAAGCATCTGTAATAATTAAATCTGTAATAAGTAAAAAGATTTATCGATAACGCATAAAGGGCTTAGTTGTTTTTGTCGTTTTGGTACATGATTCCATGCAGATCGATCTGATCCCTTGTGAACTCGACCCTATCCCCTCGGGAATGGATTTTCAACAAGATTTCCCAGTTCCTTTTTACGATTAATTATGAAAATGAAGGAGGAAAGAGCCTTTTTATTTTATGTCGGACTGACAGATGGCCTGGAAATGGAATTTAACGACAATGAATACGTTTATGCAAGGACTAAATGGAAGTTCTTGAAAATAGGAATGCTAAAAATCACTCATCGTACTTAAATAATTAATTATTGTCTCCATTTATATACTATGGAGTGAAACGTACACTGGACTATTACAACGTCCCATTTTAAACTTACGTTAAATCTGTGTTGTTCGTATAAAATAGTATTAAAAACAATGAAAATTACTTGAAATTAAACTAGTTTAATAATTGTTTACATAGTTTAATAATAATTGTTTACATTGAAATTAAATTTCATTACCAAAATGTGAGGCATGTTTCAACAATATGTGTTTTAATATATAGTTTTATCCTTGTTTCAGTAAGGATGAGCCTAAGCCTGTCTCAACTACGTAGACGTCACATACTCCTCGCTCTTCTGCTTGTCTTCCTACCTTGTACCTTTTTCATATTGCTTTCCTCACCAGGTAAGTGCACTGTACATTTTTTTACATATAAATAAGTATATGACGTTCCATCTGCCGTGTTAAAAAAAATGTTACAGCAGGTATGTTTCTATTGTGAGGTTTCCTCCTGTGGCCTGCGGGGTGATAAACCTATTGATTGATAGTTACGTATCTTCCTGGTCTGCCTATCATCGTTGATTTGCATAGTTCAGACGCGTTTCGCCATATTCAACGTACAAAACTTTGATTAACAAAAATGAACGAGGATAGGTAGACCAGGTATATAGGTAAATTAAACAATAAGTTGCGAGCATTCTGTATTAAATATTGCAGTCAAAGTTTCTTTCAGTATTAAATTATTCAAAAAGAATAAAAGTTGAACAAGTAACGGTTGTTCAACGCAAATGCTGCAAGAATACGGGCAGATTTTCCCATCTTTGCTCATGGTTGTTGAGACCCATGAGGATCTTTAACGTCCGGACTTATCCCCGAGAGGACTTCTCAGACGCCCAGTTCTCAAAGAGAACACCAGGAAGATTTTAATGCATGGAATTGTCACATTTCTTGGCGAGCGAGGTGGTGCAATGCTTACCAAGTTCAGAAGAGCCCTGAAAATGGCACATCCATACATGCGCCTTGAAAAAGGCAGTTTTTTGGTTTCTGGCACAGCCTATCAGCCGTGCCTTTCACCACCGGTACCTCCAGCTAAGGTACAATTTGTTTGCAAACCACGACCTCGAGTCCAACCTAAATTAGTAGAGCCGCTTGTATACGCTACTCCCGTGGTTCAGTATTATTTTTAAGGTGGGACTGATCGCCCACCCGGGAGTTGGTACTGATGCACCCGTTGCCTGAGGGGTGCGGGATCAGTAACCCAGGAAGCCTCTGCCAAAGCAGAGGGGGTAAGGAAGAAAAAGGAAAATAAGAAAAGGAAGGGTGTAGAGTGATAAGGGGGGAAATTGCCTCCTTCATTGATTATCCCCAGGCACCAGAGTTGATGGTCGGACTTTGCCTGGGCCCACGAAGAAGGTGTTCCTTTGGGAAGAAGAATATGGGCACAGCAAAGCTACTACCAACACAGACCCAAATGCGTGGTGTGTTGGAGAGAACATGACCCAAGAATGCACCAAGAAGCTTGACACGCCAGACTGTCTGACCTGTGCATTATGCCAACGACACAAAATGACAAAAAAAATTCTCATTGCCCTGCTGGCCCTTATGTCACATAAGGGTTTGAACCCTTCGGGACTGCTAAGCGTTTCGACCTTAATCGAATCCAATCCATCCAATCTAAAAATCTTCAGAACAGTAGTCAATAAGTCTTTCTACTTTTCCAGTCATACCTGTATGGACCCAAATGTTACTCATCTAGCCCATTACCGCTACAAAATGGTCCATTTCAAACTACCCCATCGGCCGAACAAGTTCGTCAAAAACCTGCTATCCACCACATTTCCTAATAATCCTAACAGAATACTGAAACGTCGATGACCCCGCGACAGTCTTACTACTTGACATCGGTCTCCTAGGATGGAGTCCAACTCGTTCATCGTATTGATGTACTAACGGCTACCATCACTGGACGGTTGATGTTCTATTGTTTGTTAATATTGTACGTTTTAAGAAGAATGCGGTTGTAAAAAAAATGAATTTAAAAAAGTCCATTAAATTTATCTGTAAATTCAGCATAAATTACAGAAGGTATTATGTTGTTTCATATGAAATGTCCGATTTTATGGTTTCAGAAATTCAGAGAGGAATTAACGATTTTCTGTTGTTTACTTCCAATTGTTTACATATTATAATTAAGCAGTTATTAATCCTCCTCTTTTGTTTATTATGATGAGCTCCCCAATCCATTACACACTTTTTAGTATACCTCCAAATATGAACATGGAAACACGCGATTTTCGTAGAATATTCCTTTAGGAATTTAAACTCGGTCATTCGAGCAGAGACTGGAAGAAACATCAGTAAGGCGTTTGGTGAAATTAAATGAACGAAACATTCGCCGTTGGTTTGCTAAAGTTTTCGGAAGGGAATACCGAATTTGAAAACGAGACCCGTGGAATACCTACAACTTTAATTGACAACGTTGTCCTTAAGCTTCAGATGGAAGAAAAAAAACCAATGTCACTCACAGCGCAAGTAAATGCAAGTGTAGCTACCGTCAAGACTATTAACGAACATAGGAAAAATCAAAAAGCTTGATCTATGGGTCCCTCATGAGCTCACTGAGCGACATCACTTGAGACATGCGTTTCGTTGCTCGCCAGACAAAAGCAAGCCTTTTCTTGAAAGAATAATCACTTGCGATGAAAAATGGATTGCATATGACAATCAGCGTCGGTTACTGGTTAAACCCTACGAAAGACATGCCAAAACCAAATTTACACCGAAAAAAAATTGATGGTAACCGGTTGTCCATGGCTCACTTGTCAGTTTTGCCTACTTGGTGAGACCATTACCTCTACATCGTACTGCAAGGAAATTGACGAAATGCATAAAAAATTACTGAAAAAACAACCTGCATTGGTAAATCGGAAAGGTCCTATACTCCTCCACACGACAACACCAGGATTCATGTTTCCAATCCGTAAACAAATTGAACGAGCTCGACTACTAAGTTCTTCAGCATCCACCTTATTCTCCAGACTTGCCTCCAACATATTTTCACCTATTTAGGAATTTAGACAACTTCGTCGAAGGATTTTTTTTTTTCGAGGGAACGCAACAGCAGAGGTCATAGCAACTCTCAGGGCGCCGGTGTTTTTGAAAAAAAACAAAACATTTTTACGTATGTCGGGTTCGAATGCAGGGCCGCTGGATTCGAATCCGGGACACCTTACAGTAATTTTTTTTTTAAATTAAATTTATTTATTAAAACTGGTCTTATTAGACCAGCCATTAATTTTACAATAATATTATAGAATAAATAAATGTTTACATTCTTATAAACCCATTGGTACAATAAGATTTACATTTCACTATTCACTATTCACTTATAACTACACAAGTTCATATGGCTTTGTTCTTTTTAATCTTCTGACCATGTTTCGGTAATGTAAGAGTTTAGTCGCTTCCACATTCTCGTGCTGGCTGAGGCGAGCCTGGTGTTTGGCGGCAAATCTTTGTATTTCCGCCGTGACTTCAGGGTTCTTAAGATTCCTATGTAAGTCCTTATTCCTTATGTACCAAGGTGCATTGACCATGTTACGTAAGATTTTATTTTGGAGTGTTTGTATGATTTTGATATTGCTGTTTGGTACAACCCCATAGTTGAATACCATATGTCCACATAGGCTTTATGACTTGTTTATATAATAATATTTTATTTTGTATAGCAAGATTGGAGCCACGTCCTATCAACCAGTATAGTTGTCTATACCTTAAACCTATTTCTGTCCTTTTTTTCTTCACGTGTTCTTTCCATCTCAGCTTGGCATCTAAGGTCATTCCCAGATATTTAGCTGTATTGCTGTATGGTATAGTAGTTCCATCGATTATGAGCGACGGAACATGGTCCACCTCTTTGTTTGTAAAGATTATATTATGAACTGATTTATGTTGATTTAGCTTGATTTTCCATTTTTTTGTCCATTCGTTTATCTTATTACATGCATTTTGGAGGATTTTGGTTGAGTGGGTGATAGTCGGTCCTAGTGATATCACCGCTGTGTCATCTGCAAACGTTGCAATTTTTACTCCATCTATTTTCGGAAAATCACTGGTGTATAACAAGTAAAGCAGTGGACCTAATATGCTACCTTGTGGCACTTGTGCATTTATAGATTTTTATTTTGAATATTGATCTTCTTGTTTGACTCTAAACAGTCTGTCAGTTAGGTAGGAACTGATAATATCGACATACTGCTTTGGTAGCATACCTTTTAGTTTATTGATGAGTCCTTCGTGCCAGACCTTGTCAAAAGCTTGTGAGACATCAAGGAAGATAGCAGAACAAATTTGTTTTCTTCGAGAGATTTTTCTATTACTTCCGTTACTCGGTGAATTTGGTCTATTGTTGAGTGTCTTGCTCGGAATCCAAATTGGTGGTCAGGGATGATTTTCTCTTTTTCAACGATGTGTTTTATTCGTTTTAATAACAACTTTTCGAAGAGTTTAGACACTGTTGGTAGTAGCGATATTGGTCTATATGATTTGATCTCGTTCGCCGGTTTTCCTGTTTTTTTTATCATAATGACTTCTGCGAATATCCAGATGCTGGGAACATATTTCAGTCTGATCGCAGCATTAAATAGGTATGTTAGTTTAACTATACCCTTTTTTGGCAATTGTTTTAGTATTTCTCCAGTGATAAGGTCATATCCTGGAGTCTTTTTAGCAGGTAAATTTTTAATTTTTCTTGCTACTTCTTTAGGTGAAACTAGCTTTATATTTTCATCTTGTGGCGTGGTTGTTACTTCAAGTAAGCTGCTAACTTACAGTAATGAGTGCCGTGTCAACGCCTAAACCTTGCGGCCACCGACACCCCTTGAAAACGATGTTCAAGTCCAGAAAGCGTTTTCAGATTTGGTTTCATTTCAAAGCTCAGAATTATTCAGTTCCGGTATAAAAAAGCTGGTCATGCGTTGGGAAAAATGTGTAGCAAATGATATACTTCGAATAAAATGACTTTGTTTTTGTACAGTAATTTTACTTAAAAAAACCTTTGCCTTTGATGCGGACATTTCATGTAAAATAACCCAATATTACCTACTTGTTGACATACGAGACTACGAGTCAGCTACGTCTTTCCCATAAAAATACTTATCCGCACGGAAAATCTTAGCGGAAAATGTGTTATTCTGTATTATTCTAGATGATTTACCATATAAGTAGAGTTGCCCGATTTGACCGGACGGAGTAGCTAATTCTCTCTTCGAGGCAAACCTTAAAAAAATCCTTAACGCTAGCTCGGTTAATTCTTTGTTGGGATTAGTTGTGTTCTAGGTGAAGAAGCAGGATGATGAACATAGATAGAATGTTAAACTGCTAACTTAAACAAAGGCGTTATCAAA